ATATAGGGAACGGCGTTAATTCCCGCATGGGGTGACCGAGCAGGAGGGCTCCCCGCTGGCGCCGCCAACGGGAATAAAGGCTCGGGATACGGGCTCGGGATACGGGCTCCGTGACGTCGGCGGCCGGGGGAAGCCTGCGGCGCTGAAGTCGCATCCCCGCGGCATCCCCGCGGGATTTGCCCCCTTGTCGCYGTTCGGGGCGCGAGGAGGGAGATGCCCGGGGGGGGATAACGGGCGCTGGAAGGGCCAACGGGAGCTGCGGGCGGAGCGGGCGGCCGCGCGCGCTCCGGGCCTGCCCGCGCCCTCAGGTAACGCGCCGCGCGCCCCACGGAAACCACACAAATCTGTATGTTTTTCAGCGAAATTTGAGGGCAAGTTGTCTAAAAGTTGCCTAAAGCAGAAATCTCCTCTAGTTTATTATTATTTTTTAAATAGCTCTTGTGTTAAGAGCCAGCAGTCGAGGTTTTATTCCTAGGAGCGTCCATTTCACCGCGAGTTAAAAACTGTTGGCAAATTGGGTAGCTCTGAAGCAAAACCCGGCTGGCTACATTAATAAACAGGCAGCTAACTTTAACTTCACAGGACGGAATGTAAGAGTTAAGTGGGCATCAGAGGCTGTGAAACAAAAAGGTTTTCAGTCATCATCAATGTGTTTTCTTCCTCTCACCTTTGCTATGGTATTAAAGCTGGGAATCCCACCTTATGCCCCTTTTACTGTTTTATTTTCAGATCAAATATTCCTTTTTTTTTTTTTTTTTTTTTTTTTTTTTTTCCCTGGATTTCCTTTATTTAGAGATTCCTGTCAGAGGTTGAGCCCCTTGCTGGTCCTGCCTTTGCTCATCTGGTGAATCGCTTCCTCAGCTGTGAGGATGCTCTGGGTCTGCTTCTACGATAGGATATGTGTATTCAGAGTCGCACAGAAATAACTACCCAGGTTTAACCACCAAGCAGCCTTCACAAAAGCAAGGAAAGAAAGTTAATAGGGCAGACCTGTAAGCAATTCCAGAATATCGGTACAACCTATACATCCTTATGGAAAATGTCTTGCATTTTAGGGAAAAGTTCTTCCTTTCTTTGCTTGCTCCCACTAGGCTGTAGGCAGCGGGAATGAGATGAGCTCCCTCTTGCCATTCTTACATATCCATAACTGCAGGGCCCTGGTGTCACCATCCTGTCCCAAAAGGCAGGGGAATTATCCGAGCACATCCTTAGTGCAGCACTTTTTTGCTAGGAAAGGGCCCGTGTGTGCCGGGTGCTGGAAGCCCTGGAACAGCCCATTGTATCCAGTAGGGATGCAGTCCTGTCCTGGCAAAAGCTCCTGCCGACTTGCTCAGGCCAGGATTTACCCAGCCTGGAATGCTAACGTAGAGAGGGAACGCACRGTTGTCACTGGGCACGTCATTGTTGGTAAGCCTTAAAAGGCCCTTTTCTCATTTCCTTAACTCTTCCTGGTTAAGCCCGGTTCAGGGCTTATAATGTAGGGTCACTCCGAACCATCCGCCCCGCTTTGTTATTTTTGTCTCGCTGTCACCACATGGACATGAGCTTGTCCAGTCCACAGAGAGCTGCAAACGCTGTGAGATCCCCAAACGGCGATTCCCTCCCTCAGCCTCTCCCGCTCCTGCCAGTCACTTGATCTCACCACAGGTAAAAGTAATTTCAATTTAAAATTAATCACTGCTGGCAGCGTGAGCGCTCCCTCTGCAATAACAGGATGGATGGATGATTGTGAAATTTGTACTCYGGAGTCACAAGCTGGTCAAAAATAAGCAAATAATATAAAAATAGTTTGTTAGGATTTATTCTCTCCTTCAAGCTTTAAGATTTGTTGCTCAGCTTTGCTGTCAGCCAGAGAGATTTGCTCCTGATGGTGCTGTAATCCACTGCTGCTGGTAATTAGACATCATTACTGCTGCGTTAAAGGGAAAGAGAGAAGGAGAGAGGACAGGCTGGGGCTAATTAACTACTTGATTCTAATGAAAGAAAGAGAGCCTGATAGCAACTGGGAGGTTGCACCGGAACAGGCTGGATGTACAACACAGCCTTAATTGAAGCCAGGGTATCTTGCAGGCGCACAGTAGCTGGAGCTGGGTCTGCTTTCCTATTCTGTGGGCAGCAGCACGCTGGTTATTTATTTATTTCCTCCCCTTGCCTGGATAGGGAGAAGGTTAAACTCTCAGGCCTGCCCTAACGCGCTTAAGCATCGGTTTTAAGCGGATGTTGGGGTGGCTGCGTGGTTGTGTCCTGGTCCGCGTTCCTGGCGCGGCCTCCGCAGGACCGGCCGCTGTGTGAGCGCCCGCATCGCTCCGTGCCCGAGGAGGTGCCGGTCACCAGGCAACAACCTCCCCTGGAAAACAGCCATCTTAGGCCCGGAGCGGGGCCACGCACAGCCAGGTATTCCTGCCTCGTTCCCGCAGCTTCCCGGGATCCTGCTCTTGCTGCCGTGTTTTCTTCCCCGGGCTGCGCCTTATAAGCATCGTGTRAGGGTGCCCAGCTTAGACACGTTGTATAAATGTGTTAGACCAAGAAATACGCCAAATGGCTGACAGTAACGAGGGTCAACGTGGCCTGGTTGGGCCTGGCGACCCGTAGGAATGTCTGGATTCAACATCGCTAGGATAGTATCCTTTGAGATACCATACCCTGTGTACAGGGTTTTCATAATTTTTGAGGGTATTTTCTGCCTGGGAAATTCATCTGGAGTTATTTATTGATTAGCAACTTGAGAACAAAGAAATACTGATTTATTTTCACCACTTTTCGCCCTGTTGCTTTATGTTTCTCACAGCCACAAATATGGCTCCTAAGGTCAAACTTAATTTAAAAATATGTAAAGCCACAAAACAGGAGCCCAAGTGGCATCAGCAGATTCCACACAGGGCTTTCCTTTAAAGATAGAAGGCCCTACATGGTTGCAAGGTATATTTAAGAGGACAGAATATGAGCTGTGTTAGCAAACTGAAGAGCTGCTGCCACAAGGGAAAGTTGCCAGCAGCTTTTATCTCATTCTTAATTCCAAAAATCTTAACAACTGGCTTAAATCACAAACCTGAAGTATGATTTTTCCTGGTCTTGCTCTGAAGCTGTAATTACGAAGCCAGGATGAGCCTTCATGCAGAAACCAAACTGGGCTCGCGTTGGTTAGACCGCTTCCAGGAGGMGCGGGTGTCCCGCGGGTTTCCGCTAGCAGGACAGGGAGGCTCCCGGCAGGTGCAGGGCCGCACTGCCCAAGCTGATTACAGGATTTAGGGCTTACAAATGACAAGCGAGCGAGTCCTCCGGAACGGGGGGCATCCCAGCCAACCTCGTGTTGAAAAATAGTGGATTAGCATATGACTTTGTTTTTCATTTGATTTTGATAGATGTTACTTTTTTTAGTGAACRATAACATTAGGAAAGATATCACAGCATAAATAATTTAAAACGCTATGTTTTGATATGTAAGCTGTGTTTTAGATTATGTTCATTCTTTTGAGATATTTTAGAGCAATCTGAAAATTGTCAAATAKATATTGGCAGCTCTGTAGCCTCCTAAACTGTCAGCACATACAGGAGTATGTGAAGTTGAGGGTGGGCTGTAATTCACTCCAAGGTACAATTTTGCAGTGTTTCCAGTCTACTTAAATGTACCTACTACTCACAAGCTCAAATGCATTAAAATCCTGCGGGATTCATCCCGTTCTAGGTACTTCCCTGTCACTTGTCTGCAGAGTTTCGGCTCCTCCTGCTCCCCCACCCTCTGTCCTGCCATTTTCCAGCCTCCCAGTGGACTTGTGAGGAGGGAAGCCGGTGAATCAGGGAGTGTTGGAAAACGGTCATAGCAGATGGAACAAAATGGTTTAGTTGGCAGCTCTCAGTGTAGGCTCAATGCAGCTGAGTGTGCCYGAATAAAGAGAATAACTGTCCTGAAATGTAAAAATGCCACAGGGGCYGTATGCAAGATGCCGTCTCCACATGTGCATGTGTGCGAGGGAAGYGAAGAGCGGAGGATTCGGGGTATCGTGGTAGCAGTGCTGAGCTAGACTTTCCCAAAGAGAGATGAGCCCAGCAGAGCACATCTTGCAGAAGGGAACCTTGAGGTGCTGCCTCTGTACGGCGAGGAAATGTCAGCGTTGCCTTCACGCGTCGAGCAGGGTGCTCAGGTGCTCTAGGAGGAGGCTCTGTGCCAAAAGCAGGCATTTAATTAAAGTAACACAGGGATTCAAACTTGTCTTTTCAGCGTAGCAATACAAAGGGAAATAAAACCCACCCTTACTAATATAACTTCTCTATACGTGCGTACGTACAGAAGACAGGTGAAATCCTGTTGTCCAGGGAAGGCCGGGCGTTCAACTTGAAAGCCCGTCTTCACAGGGATCCAGAAGAGGCCTTGCAGCTGAATTTTCAGGCAGCTGAGAAGCTTTGTGGGGAAGCCTGAGGTGACTGTGAGCTCGATTCTTT